CGCCCTCATACACTGAGGACAAGCACTACGGTAAGGGAGGTGGCCTCCGACGCTGCTCCAGAGATGCTCCTTGTGGCAGCTGGGTGGAGTTGGTGGGGTTAGACTTCTTCCTAAGCTATTTTATGGTGGGTGTTTTCTGTGTCCTGAGGATGGGTGGTCCTGGAGCAAACATAAGCCTGGCAGATGCAGTTTGTATTTGCTGAGACTCTGCTGAGATGGGGGAACTGATCCGAGTCCTCATGGTGCACCTGCCTGGGTTGAAGAGCACGGTGCTGACCCTTGTGGGAGTCTGGTGTCAAAGCTACCTCCTTCCTACTCCTTGGTGGCAGCCATGACTGTCCCTGTAGGAGAATCTGGCTGTTTCTTGGAGACTTGTCTTAATCTTGAGTAATTTGGTTTGTTTTGGGAATGAAGATGTACAAGGGAAAAACTTCTCACTGGAGCTGCCTGGAATAGGTCTTCGGGTGCAGAATAGGAGTCAGGTTAAACCGTTCCCTCTGGAAAAGGGATGGTTGGAGCCCACTTTCCCTGCTTAGCTGTGTCAGTGCCTCTGGAGCAGCTGGGATGGAATTTAACCTTTCAAGTGGAGAAGGCTTCTTGCATGGGCATGCCAAGCAGTCACTGTCTAGCTGTTCCAAGACCTGTGTAGCCTGATGATGCTGTACTAGTGGTGGGACTTTTTTTTTCCTCTCTAGGCATTACATCCTACGGTGTCCCTCGCAGTGAGAAGGAAATCATGGCTGAGATCTACAAGAATGGCCCAGTGGAAGGAGCCTTTATTGTCTATGAGGACTTCCTGATGTACAAGTCTGGTGAGCATCAGCACCAAGGCTGTGGGGAGCCCGATTCCCTGGTTCATCCATAGGGTCTGCCTTTTGGGGCCCTTGTCCCTCTACTCAAGTCTGAAAGGAGATCTCAAGTTCACACTGGCGTATTTAGTGTTCCAAGGACATGGGTAGATACCATCTCTTGGTTTATAGCAAGGGGAATAGGTGCTCGGGACTGGTTGGGGGGGGAAGCCCCAATGGGGACCCCCTGGAATTGCAGCTGAGAACAACAGCTGGGATTTTAGGTAAAATCCTGGCAGATGGCTTTCCTGGTGTGGCCCCAGTTCTCCGCTTGGGATGTGCTGCCTTTGGGCCCCTTGTTGAGTGTCTCTGGGCTGACGCTTAGCATCTGTCCTTCCTCCAGACTCTCCATTAAGCTTCAGATTTCCATTTAACCCAAAAAACCCACCTTCTTGGCTGGTCTCTGGGCTTTGATATTGAACATCTCACAAGCTGAAGCAGGGGGTAGACGTGGTGCCCGTTGACATGCTGGCTTGTTGCCTTGCAGGGGTCTACCAGCATGTGTCCGGTGAGCAGGTCGGAGGCCACGCAATCCGGATCCTGGGCTGGGGAGTGGACAATGGCACTCCATACTGGTTGGCCGCCAACTCCTGGAACACCGACTGGGGGGACAATGGTGAGGCACCCCCTGATGCTGCTGGAGGGAACCCCTTTCCCAGTTCTACTTGGCGCATTAGGGAGGTTGACTTTTGCTCTTGGTGTGCTTCCAGGCTTCTTCAAAATCCTCCGAGGAGAGGACCACTGCGGCATTGAGTCCGAGATCGTGGCCGGCATCCCCAGCACGCAGCAGTACTGGAAGAGAGTGTAACCTTCTTGATCAAACCACAAATAATCCTGAGTCCCTGATGCTTTTAACTGATAGTGGGTTGGGTGCAGAGCCTCCCCCCCTCTAAGAGACTATAGTTGAGGTTACTTTATTAAAGCTTTTTATTATTTTAATATTTTTTTTTAATTGTATGGTGGAGCTGGAGGTGGAACTGCTCTCTGCAAGCCCTCTGCTCCTGGTGGGTCACAGCTATGGGGCATTTTCCCTGCTCGAAGGACTGCTGAGGGCTCACCGGCCTCTTGCACCATGATATTTGGTTAGCCTGGACCCCTTCCAGCCCAGTCTGTTCCTGGGATGGTAGGAAGCAGTAGCTTTGTGCTGGGAATAGGGACTTGGTGGGGCAGTGGAGATGGATCCTGCTGGGAAGCCACAACCAGGGGTGATTTGCACACCCCTGGCTGGGTTGGTCTGACTGTTAGTACCTGAAACAAGTGGAGTTATGTTAGCATGTGCCTTGAATTGGCTAAACTTAGACCTAATTAATGACAAAATACTGATGAACTCCATGTGGGGCTGGCTCTGGCCTGAGCTGCGTTAAGACCTGTCCTGCCTGCAACGAGTCCTTTGCACATCACTTGCTCTGCTCCATCCTTTCGGCTGCTTTTGAAAAACCACTTGTTCCTCAGCTGTTTATCTGGTGTGTTTTGGGGTTTATTTCTGCTGTAGTCTGGGGTTATTGATCCTAGGGAAAGGCCTGGGCTGGAGCTCCACGAGCCTTCGATCAAATATCCTCCACAAGCATCTAGGAGCATGTTGGAAAGAGCAAACCACTTCCCACCCAGTGCAGCAGGTGGATGCCTCAGCAAGGGTGCTGCATCCCAAATCGGTGTGGTGCTTTGGGATTGCAGGTGCTGAAGGCTGAGCAGAGAGAAGGGATGGTCCCCAGGTCTGCTGCAGGGAGGTCATCCAGGTGCTTGGAGGTGTCTTGCTAACTTGCACACAACTGAAGCTTCTTTTTTTTTAAGCTACAGGCATTAAGGAAGAAGAAAAACCTTATTTTTGTTACTGGGGGGAAGTGTAATAGCTGCGTAGGAGGAATCATGTGATTTGCCAACACTAATATAGTTAGCTGCTTTTTTGGGTTTTTTTTTTTAATATTTTAAAGCACGAAGTCTATTGCTGAGCTGAGGTTGCAGGTCTGAAACGTGTGAAGCAGGCTCTCCCTTGCACTGTAAAATAGCCCCTTACCTCTGCTTACTCGGACACCAGTGAGACAGAGCTGTGGTGTACACGATTGGAACAATGTGCCAATAAACGATTTCTCCAGTGTCTCATCTCCTGGGCCTTGGTTGCTTCTGCTCGACTTCAAACCACCTCAAACTATTTGAAAGGGTGTGTAGTGCCAGGACAAGGGGCAATGGCTTTAAACTGAAAGAGGGGAGATTTAGATTAGATATAAGGAAGAAATTTTTTACAATGAGGGCGGTGAGGCACTGGAACAGCTTACTCAAAGAATTTGTGGCTGCCCCATCCCTGGAAGTGTTCAAGGCCAGGTTGGATGAGGCTTTGAGCAACCTGATGTAGTGGAAGGTGTCCCTGCCTATGGCAGAGGGGTTGGAACGAGATTATCTTTAAGGTTCCTTCCAACCCAAACCATTCTATGAGTCTATTCTCCTGTGCATTGTGGAAGCCAGGTGAGACCCTTCTGTCTTCATGCAAGCATGGACAGTCCCAGCCCTGTCCTCTGGCCATGCTGGCGACAGCATGACTTATGCTGACTCCTGGGCAGCCCCTGGGTATTGCCTACTCCTGGTGATGGGGAAGGTGCTTCAACACAGACCAAAGGGGAGCCAGGACCAGCCCCAGCATCTCCACAGGCTGGCACAGAGGGTATGTGGGGAGGAGGATGCACCAAGACACTGGAGAGCATGGCTCCAGCCCAGGGCTGTGCCACCACTGCTTCTGCCTGCAGTGCAAGGTCCATTGAAAGTTAATTTCCTGACCTTTAGCTGTCTCTCAGCCTGGTTAAAATTCTTCCTCCAGGTTTGGTACACAAGGATTTATTGTGATGCCCTGAGCAGAAGCAGCTACGTTTCATCTGAGTTGAGAGCTTGTAACTTGTGGCATGATGGGGAATCACCAGTGTCAGCTCAAAGAAATAATCAAATACATTTTTTTTTCTTTTTCCCAAAGAAAACTTTAATTTCAACAAGACAGGAAGCTGCACAAAGGGAGCTACCACATGTTTCTTTTGAACAACGGCTTAAAACTACCTACATTGGTACTTGTGGAGTAGGGGTTCTCCTTCTGAGTAACAGTCTGGGCACAGGGGCTTGGCCTTGCCAAGGCCACCCAACAGCTCTGTCCTGCAGCAGGACAGGGGCTGTCTTTCCCTTCACAAAAGCAAACTTAACATTTGAGTGAGGGGGTGATAGGACCCCTGAAAACAAAAAGATCCACCCCAGGAAAACAGGATTTGCCTTTAAAGTGTTTCCTCTCCAAGTGTTTGAAAACAGCAGTGGAAGCCTCTTCCAGCTTGCATGTCAGTCTAACCCAAAGCAGCATCCCACGTGGGCCAGGAAAACCTGCCCTGGCTCCCCCTCAGCGTGGGGTGATCACTGCTGCCTTTCAAGGTCGTCAATGCACCCAAGGTCCCCCGAAAAAGCATCCCACGAGGGACAGCACAGTGCAAACCTTGCAGCTGCTGTGATGGTCCCGCTCTGCCACGGCCACCCATCCCTTGGGCTGAAGAAGGGGTTCAGAGCCCGGACCCCCACTGTGGACCCCCTCTTCCCTGTTTCACCACCTCTTCAGCTGCTAAAATAAGGGAGCTTTGCCATCTGCTAGAGGGCAGGGAGCTGCAACAGGTGACTTTCAGCTGGGGGACATTAAAGTGGATAGAGCATTCCACCTCCTACACCTCTTTAACTTCAAAGGGCTCATTTTAAGTCCTTCAGCACAACAACAGGAAATTTAAAGATTGCCTCTGCCTGTTTCCAGGCTGCAGGACATCAACCAGCAGAAGGTGGCCAGAGCTTTTTTTTTCCCCCTGGATACAGAAGCATATTCCTCTC